AGCATGCTCAACAAAACACAGTTTATGATGAAGGTTGGAGGCACTTGTAGCTTGGCTGTGTTTAAAATCTGTTTAATGTTGGCTTTAGCTGTTGTCATAATTAGAACTGAAAGACCATCACGCCTCTGGTAGCAGGTTGGAGGACAGAGGGCTGAAAATCTGGCTGCTACAAATTGATCCATGATAAAAACTTGATTAACATCAGCCAGAAAGCCTGCCAAAAAAACCTGTTAACTGTGTTTCTCTTGCTTAGCTAAGCTACTTAGCTAATCTTGTTGGACACTTGGTATCAGTGCTGATGAATTTCTTAGCTTTTATTACATTATCAGAAGAGAGAGAGAGAGTTCATTTTTTGTGGTGATTCGTGCCTTATTTTATGTTGTCTTTTTGATGCAGTGAACCTTCTTGGTGTGTTTCCTTTTTTGTTTTTTGAGAATCACCATTGCACCTTCTGTCCCTCCTGCCTCCTCTGCGCCCCGTCTGGCGGTGTTGTGTTGGGCAGGGCAGGGCAGGGCTTGGCACTGTGCACAGGGGGACAGATGGTCTTACGTGTGATCTAGCTGGAGGTCCAGAGCCATACCCCAGCAGGGACCCTGGCAGCTGACAAGCCTGGCCCGATGTCCACCGTCCCTGGGTGGGATCTGACAGTGATGGCAACTGGATGGACCACCCAGGTGTTAGACAGTCTCTCTCTCTCTCTCCCAGCCACCTGTTCCACCTGTGCTGCTGCTGCTGCACATTTTCACCATTGCAAACAAGAAAAAAAGTTAAACAGCAGCCCTGAAACCATGTTCAAACAGCACAAAGCAGATATTTAACAATAATGCCAGCATAGCCGCAATAATTCTCAGCCATTTGCACCAGTTGTGTTAAGACAGGTTTATTATACCAGCAGCATGTAAAGGATACTATAGGAGGTACTGTAGCACCAAACAAATATTTTCAGACAGCTACAGCTCAGAAGCTTAACGTCTGCTCTGGCTACTGCTGATTTTGTGGGTGGTTGCTTTTTAATACGTCTGCAGTTGCGTGTGCCAGCGTATTGGACAGATAAGTTTGATGGATGGAGACAGGCTTAAGCCAAACAGCAGCGATGCCAGTTTGTTGTTGCTTGTGTTATTCATGATGTTGTTGTTGATGAACTTATTACAGCAGCGATGAAGTCATTATGCTCTCATCCCAACAAACTCATTCCAGCAGAGCACTGCGGCTTATGGGGCGTAGATCAAGTCACGCTGTCGTGGATGGCATTGAAAAAGTAACAAGGGCAAGGTATCAAGTGCCTGGATACTGTAGCAGCAGCTGAAAAATGCATTTATTTTAGCCAACCTCCGCGACTCTGGGCTGATGCACTCCACAGTTAGTCAGCACTCCACCGCTTTGCCAGCTCAGCTTTTATTCCATGCCCTGGAAATTGAGTTTTGCTGGCCCAGTAATGTACTCAAAACTACAACTGCAACTGACTGATAAATCTATGCTTTGTTGCTCCAGACGGATGGCTGTGAAAATGAAAATTCACCACAGCATGTTGCTGTGTCGGGGGAAGGTCATTTCAGAAATTTCTCTACTCATGGAAGCATCTGTGCTCAGGGAGGAGTTGGTTTTTCTCTGAAATATAGTTGCAAAGAATTCATATTTGAGGCTTGTTCAATGAGATGACTGTGTTGTTTTGTTCCACTGCCTTCTCCCCTCGCTGCCTGACTATGCTGGGAGGCCAAAAAATAATAAAAAAGTGCCACTCTAGTGCCACTCTTCCTCCAATGTGTCAACAATATCTATTATTTGCTGAGGTAGAATGGCTTTACATGAGAGGTGCTGTTCAGCCGGTTTGATAAATACCACAAGATGACAGATCTTTGTTGCAAAGCAGCAGTCGGAGTCTGACACTTCAAAGACCAATTTCAGACCGTTAACAAGGTCTGGACCGGGAATATCTCACAGCAAAATGTCACAAGGTCTCCCTTTCCACACCTCCTTGCTCTCCCTCTCCCCCTCTCCATTCTGCCTTCAGCTCTCCTGTGGACGTTCAACGAATTGTAGTTGCTCTCTTTCAATTTGCCGACCATGTTACCTCGTTCCACAGTGTGCTGCCCTAGGGGATCGTGGGTAGGCAGAGGCAGCAGCCCTGGCCAGGTCCACAGAGAGCTGGTAACCTTTCAGTGTTGCTTTAGCGCCCTGTGTAAAGAACAATCAGTGCTTATCACTATCGACTACAGGCAAATGCTAATTCAGTGCCAAGGAGATTGAGAGCATCTTTGGCTTTCATTCTGAAAGCCAGACATCTCCAGACAAATAGCTTTAAGAAAACTCAAGTTTGTTGACTTTTTATTGACTTTATGTTCTATTCTGTACACCACTACTAATCTATGCATTGAAATATTACTACAACTTTATTTCAGGTTTTAAAAGCCCTGTCATAGTAAAATAATTTAATAGTAATGATAATAATTTAGCTCAATAGTTCCTAATTCTTGCTATTGAATTAAGTGCTTGAGCATCATTAATGGTTTGGCATTTCACAAACTGCCGGTCTTGTTGGGTGTTCCTGGTCTGCAGTGGTTAGTTCCTTTGTTAAAATGGTTGAAAATGAGAAATACTGTACATTGGTCTCTATGAAGAGAAACATTCAGTGGTGATATCACATCTAGAGTGGGGAGGCTGTTGGATTTGGTTAAAGATCTCTAACTTGTCCTCACGACCACAGTTTTTACTGCTTTTACACAAGTTTTACACTGAATGGTCGACACATTCGTGCTCTTCTGACAGTAGAACTATGGCAGAAAACTGATTCACAGAAGATGCACAGTGAGCTGCAGAGAGACACGAGTGCCAACCAGCTGCCGCACTGACTCCTATGTACACAGTTTTAAGCAGGTGGTCATAATGTTAAGGCTGATCAGTACATGTACAGTTGAAGTCAGATGTTTACACTTTAGCCAAATACATTCAAACTCAGTCTTTCACAACTCCTGACATTTAACCCTATAAACATTCCCTGTCTTAGGTCAGTTAGGATCACTACTTTATTTTAAGAATGTGAAATGTAAAAATAATAGTAGGAAAAAAAGACTGATTTCAGCTTTTATTTCTCAGTTTACATACATCGTTAGTATTTGGTAGCATTGCCTTTAAATTATTAAACCTGGGTCAAACGTTTCAGGATGTCTTCCTCCTGACAGAACTGGTGGAACTGAGTCAGGTTTGTAGGCCTCCTTGCTCACACACATTTTTTTCAGGTCTACCCTCAAATGTTTTCTTGGATTGAGGTCATGTTTTTGATGGCCTCTCCAACACCTTGACTTTGTTCTTATAGCCATTTTGCCAAAACTCTGGAAGTCTGCTTGGAAGACCCAAGTTTTAACTTCCTGGATGATGCCCTGAGATGTTGCTTCAATATATCCACATGATCTCCCTTCCTCATGATACCATCTATTTTGTGAAGGGCCCCAGTCTCCCCCCCCACAATAAGATACTGCCACCCCCCGTGCTTCATGGTTGGGATGGTGTTCCCCTTTTCCCTCCAGAAACATCGATGGTCATTATGGCCAAACAGTTCAATTTTTGTTTCATTTGACCAGAGGACATTTATCCAGAAAGTAAGATCTTCGTCCCCATGTGCAGCTGCAAACTGTAGTCGGCCTTTTTTTTTTTGGTGGTCTTAGAGCAGTGGTTTCTTCTTTGCTGAGCAGCCTTTCAGGTTACATCACTACAGGACTAATTTTACTGTGGATATAGACACTTTGGTACCTGTTCCCTCCAGTGTCTTTACAAGGTCCTTTGCTGTTGTTCCGGGATTGATTTGTAATTTTCAGACCAAATTGCTCCCAAGGAAGAACCAGACATTTGAAGGTCCACAGTTTTTTTTTTTTTTTTTTTTTTTTCCTAAGGTCTTGGATGATTTCCTGTGATTTTCTCATGCTGTCATACAAAGAGGTACTGAGTTTAAAAGTAGACCTTAGGGATGCTCTGTGTTAAGAGCAGATTATGTCTCAAAAATGGTGTTGTTTATTTTGTGGGGCTCTGAAGATTTATGACGGCATGACCTGACAGTCCCCTCTTTGGGGCCAAATATTAGGTAAGCATCATTTAACTTGTATACTAAGCTTCCATATGAATGCTCTCATTCGTTGTTACATTTCATTGTGTATTATTGACTGACTAATACATCCACAAGTGTGCCTCCTATGGACTCAAATGATGTCAGTTAGCCAATCAGAAGCTTCTAAAGCCATGACATTTTGTGGAATTTTCCAAGCTGTTTAAAGGCCCAGTCAACTGAGTGTATGTAAACTTCCTACCCACTGGAACTGTGATACAGTGAACTGTTGGAAAAATTACTTGTCATGCATAAAGAACACATCCTAACCGACTGGCTAAAATGAGAGTTTAACATGACATCTGTGAAGGGGTTAAAAAAAACAGTTTTAATTACCTTAACCTAAGTGTATGTGTATGTAAACATCTGACTTCAACTGTATATAAAAGCCTGCGTCAATAAAGACAGCCAGTGTAAGACCATTGAACATCCCAGTGGTAAATAATAATATTCGGTGTACTGTTCACTGAATGCAAGTTGGAGGAAAATATTGTACAGTGCAGCTTCAAGAAAAGAATCCAACAAAACTGTGATATAAAATGGAACAAATGCCTTTTACCTAGAACTTTTCGAGTAGAATTAACAAAAGACAGTTATGAAAATGTCAAAAGGAAAAAGCAATCTTTCTGTAGCCAAACTGAAAGCTAGCATTAGGAGGAGGGTAATTTATGGACCACCAGCTGGTCTGTAAAGGTTATTACCACAGGCAATTCAGGCACAGTAGTTCAACAAGAACCTAATTAAAATACTAAAGGCTTGTAGACACATCAACATGACAAGATGCTTTTCTGTCTGGTGGGTATAAATAGGACAGACTTGTTTCAGAAAAAGTTGACATTTTGAAGCCTGGGTCTGTGAGTCTGTCTAAGTTGCATCTTTGCCTTCTTGTCCTTCATCCTCCCAGCACGAATCGTGCGGAGCCGTCAGTGGTGCGAGATGGCTCCCTGCCTGGAGGGGGAGGTCTGCAGCCTCCTGTTCAACCGATCCGGCTGGACCTGCACTAGGGGCAGCGGTCGCATCAAGACTGTCACGGTAATTTCCAAGACATATCATTAATATTTGCCATATGCACATAACAGCATCATGCCCAGATTTTCAGCCTGGGCAACTCCTACCAGCTGATAGTGTCATGTGAAGTCTCAACCCAGCACGATTCAGTCAAACAGCAGGTCAGTGCTTATGTTTCAGCGTTGAATTACAAAGGGCAGAAAAATAATTCTGGGGTACTTTCAGTGAGTCGAAACTTCCAAACACGTTTTTGGCCTCACCCCAGTCAGGCGTGTCACAGGAAAGTAGCTGTTTAATTATATTCCAAAGTTTAACATTTCTTTACCATGGTGTATCATGGAAACGCATTGAAGTAATCAAATAATTTGAAACATACTCTCAGAACACTGTGACAAATTAGAGAGGCATTTACCTGTTCTAAAGATGTTATAAATCTGGTCATATCGGCATTGGTTTTAACCCCCTTCTGATATCACTTTGTTGTCTGGTCTGCAGCCAATAATAAGGATATGTAAAAGCTGCTCAGTTAGTTCTTCACTGAGAATCATGTAAAACCAAACTTGATTTTGTTATTAGGAAAAAGCATTTTTCCATGTGAACCATCTTAAATATACTAGACAGAAACAACAGCATACTAAGAATTTATCATTTAAATTATTCTGTACACAACTTAGATTTGAGCCCCATATCAATAACATTTAATACAAAATTGCAAGCATGATATGTTGCATTTTAGGCGATCTGGTCAAGTGCAGTTTAACTTCTTAATCTTCTGGGTTTTGTACTAGTCCATTCTTCAACCTTTTAAACTCATTTATTTAATTGTTTTTATTACTTTCGATGTATATTCAATTCCACAAGTATTTATAGATCCTGGGAAGACTAGCCATCGTCTCTCTTGCTCATGGAGATCCTTTAATAGTTTACAATAATCAGCTGGAAGAAAATGTGCAGTGACATTACTTTATGGGTGTGCTGCCATGTTTGCAACATGCTTGAAAACTGTTACCAATAGTGAAGAGTTCAACAGTAGTTTTCGATGTTGATTCATCCAATAAGCAACCAGGCCTGTGTGGGCAATTAGAGGTTTATTCTGTAAAACATCTAACTCTCACTGACAAAGTATGGAGTAAATATAAATCAGAGCAGTTGATTAAATAGGTAACACTATACAAAAAGGTTACAAATCATACACTTAAGTAATGTAAGTAATGTTAACTAATGCTTGATTTAGTGCATGAATTATTGCAAGATGTATCATGAGCTTTTGTTAATCACCATTTACTAACGATCGAGTCAATGCAGCCTTCTGTGAATAGTTCAGATTTAACACATCATCAGTTAAGGAATGTTCATTCACATTTGCTTCATACATTTGTTGATGCGTCACCAAATTAGCTGCATTCTGTTAACACCGAGGTTTATGCAGACCCATGCATTATAAGGAGAACAGTATATATTCTAATGAAAATATTAAGCTTTTTTGCCTGTTACTAGCATGACCCAGTCATATTTATGGATATACGTTTGATTATATAGATTTATCACATTTACAAGTAAGAAAAAACATGCTGCAAAAATTATAAAACGACTGTAAGAAAATGCCAGCAATATATTGGCTTTATTATTCTTTATCATATTACACACCACTTGCAGCATTTCTGCAGAAACACAATATTTAATATTTTCATTAGCATAGATAGTGTTCTCCTGATCAAATGCATTGGGGACTAAGTAAGTAAGTTGGTGGCACATCAATTAAATATATGATGTAAATGTGAATTAATGTTCCGTAGCTGATGATATATTAAGTCTGAACTAAGCCCAGAAATCCACAGTGACTTGATCATTTGTGAATGGTTAGTAACAGGACTCATGATACATCTTGCAGTAATTAATGCATTAAACCATCATGAGTCATGCATTAGTTAAACATTACTTAAGTAAATGATTAGTCCCTTTATTGTAAAGTGTTAAATAACAGGAGATCTGACTTATTTAGGTATCAGTGTACTGTAGTACTGACAAATGTTAATAACTGACAGCACTTTGTGGCCTATCCCTAACTTAGTGGGAGATGTAAATGAGTACAAAACATAGTGAAATTTTAAAGCCTTCAATATGGGGGCAGCTGGTCCTCTGTAGGCATCTCTCACAGTGCAGCATGCACCCAATGCTTCAGAGCTGCCAATGCTGCAGTGCTGAAAAATACACAAGAAGCTCAAAGCCATCATACCTCCGGTCTAAGTGAGGATTAACCTGACCTTTTAGTTTTATTGTATCATAAAACAAGTATAAAATTAATATCATTATAAATGTGTGTGAAAGCCCCTTAGTGAGGGGATAAAATACTTTTAACTCTGGCCAGCAATAGCTGCTACTGTTTGCCTAGTCAGCGACTGAGTCGCCATGGATACAAGTCTCATTGTCTCTGTGTGGTTCACACTCTTGCATATTTCACACTGTGCACCTCTATGCTCAGTGGAAATGGTGACCACCAATTATCGTTGGTGGTGTAGAGTCAAAGGATAAATCCAGGCATGTTCTGTATTAAGTATTTTCAACAGTCCCTATACAGGGACTAAAACCAGTGATGAATTGCCTCTACAGTTCATGTCAGTCTCCAAACTGGATTAGCTTATTTATCTGTGCTATAGACCTCCAATGTTATTCAAAGCTGCACTGAGTGACATGTTTCTTTATTACAAAACATATGTCAGAGATATTTGTAAAAAAAAAAAAAATTGTTGCCCCAAAGGCTTTGAAAGGCCATATGTTTTTCCAGTATCTGAAGTAAGCAAGAGTCAGCTTCACATGCACGAGCTCTCTACTCTACTCTGTTTACAGTCTGCTAGCTTGTCATGCTTTCACAGTTTATGAAGGCTAATGTTAGCAACATTTAGACAGATATTTTGTGACTGACATTACTGAGTCAAATTTTGAGTCTCTTGAATTTGTGCCTCAGTGCACTATGTTTTTGTGCATTACTATCATTCCCCTCCATCAAAATGTATCTTTTTATACTATGGCTTCACAGATCCTAGATTTGAAGACCAAAGCCAACATTTTAAAAACTTCCAACACTTTTCTTAATATAACCACATATAATTAATAGCTTTGTTACGAATCCCTAAATTTAGGTGATTCTTATGGTTTCATAATCATAAATATTGGCTAAGTTATAAACTAAAAGACTATTTCTACCTTCTTGTCAATAATATGATGAATTCTGATCAAACAACAAATACACAAATATCTGCTTCAAATATAATGATATGGACTAAGGGCAGAACCACACAAGCTGACATCAAACGACTGTTGCGCCAACAAACATCACCCTCGTTGGGGCCAAAAAAGTGTCACTTGACAAACCAGACAAACTACAACCAACGGCCAACTAGCATGTACTGTACATTCTACACCTGCACTGGCGTTGTTGACTCTTGGTCTTTTGGTTGTGGAAGAAGAAAAAGAAGAAAGGAAGTCACGAAGCCAAAAAAAAAGAAGTAAATGCACTAAATGGATGATATCATGGATGCTACAGCACCAGGCTCACACCTGTCTCTTCTTATGCACTGATTCCCTAAGCTGATCAAAGTGGTGTCTCTCAACGATGGGGTCCGCTGCTGATTCAACATGCTAAACTGGCTGAAAAGCCGCCAACAGGGTGTGATTAGTGCCAACAGCATGGGACACACTGCAAAGAAGAGGGTGACAGATGCTCACCAACAGCCGACCTTTGACTTGATGTGTCATGGGCCTAAAGGAAGAAGCAGTGGGATACAACTGAGAGACAGAGCAAGTGAAATGGCACACTATAGCGTGAAGTTAGCAAGGGATGACAATATGCAGTCTTCAACATCAGGCTAAAGGTCAATCTATGACCGCTTCTGTTGGTTTTTCACTCTCTTTGTCTTTTATCTCTCACTCTGTCCAGTGGCCCTGGGCGGCTGTGACAGATTTTACACATGCACTCTGACCGTGCTTTGATCTACAGCGCATGTAGGTTAGTGATTAGCTTTTGTACAAACATTTGCAAAAACGCAGATTGTGTTCTACTGCAATTTCTCAATTAGCAGGAGAGTTTTTATTGCAGAAGTTTATCACAAGTGCTGTTGGTGTTTTTGAGAGGGAAGGGAAAGTGAGGATTTGGCAGCAGGCGAAAGCAGGTATCCAGAAGTAGTTGTTCTAAGACCTGAAATGGGAGGAAAGCACATTCTGGAAGATTAATGTAAATGAGAAATCTATAAAGAGGACTGATCTGGCCATAGCAAGGACAGAAGGATCCAGAGCCAAAGGGCCGAGCTGCCACTCGGCCACAGGCCAAACTGTCTGTCTCCATCTACTGTATGTGTAAGTGTCTGTAGGGAAGAGAGTTTAGAGTGGGGGTTTTAATTGTGAGAGAATCTGTCTTCACATACACATAATCACATTACATACTAGCATTCAGTTTGAATTGATTCAGTCTGATTTGATCAGTCTGTATTTTGTTGGCTGAGATGACCTTACACCTTGTTTTTCTCTAGATCGTTCAGAACTATAAAGTTAAATCATTGATGTATGTGATATGTTTGAAAATGACAGTGTTGCCAGTGATAAAACAGGTTCTTTTATATGGAAAAAGAGATGAAAATATAAATGAGCAGCTGCGTTGTGTAACCAGAAAACATTTTTATGTATCTTTCTCTAGGGAGCCTTCAATAGTATGTTCTTGTTTTGTTCATCTTTTTCAGTGAGACACCTGTCCTGGCTGCCAGTGAGTGGTCAACCAGCAAGTGAAATTATAAAACAAGTGTAGTGACAGTGTTAATTTTGTTAACAAAAACGATGATGAATATTTGGTGAGACCTATTTTTCAGGACAAAAATGAGAACTATATTTTTTGTGAACAAATAAAAAACAAACAATAATGTGAAAGATGGATGTAGTGTGGCAGTTTTGTGGCCCCTCGCCCTGCGATGTTGTGTCCTGGGCAGACTGCCCTCGGGGTAGAGGCCGGTGCTGGAGCCCTTAGTGCAGTCAGG